CGTAAAAGAGGTGCAGATTTTAGCCGGTCGAATTGCGGGGCTGAGTCGTTTTATATCGAAGGTGGCGGAGAAAACCCTGAAGAAGAGCGCGAAGTTCCAATGAACGGAGGAGGCGCAAAAAGCATTTGAGGAGCTGCTAGGGGTGTTGGCCAACCTCCCTTTATTGGCCAAACCCGTGCAAGGAGAGGAGCTGGTGCTATACATTTCCATCGGGGAGAGAGCTGTAAGTTCGGTATTGTTGCAGGAGGAAGGAACAGCGCAACTCCCTATCTACTATGTGAGTAGGGTAATGCAAGGAGCAGAGACGAGGTATTCTGAGATTGAGAAGTGTGCTCTGGCTGTGGTCGTGACCGCTCGAAAGTTAAGACCTTATTTTTTAAATCATAAGGTAAAGATACGAACGAACATGCCATTGGGAGAAATTCTAGGACGGCCATCAGTTTCGGGCAGGCTGGTAAAATGGGCGGTCGAGCTGAGTGAATACTCCCTGTTGTACGAACCAAGTAGGGCCATAAAGGCGCAAGTGTTAGCTGACTTTATTCAAGAAGGCACGAAAGTCGATGAAGAGGTCGAGGGGCTATGGCAGTTGTTCGTAGACGGGTCGGTGGCTCGAAGTGGGGCAGGATTGGGAATCGTCCTTGTCTCCCCCAAAGGCGACTATTTAGAATTCGCAGCAAAGGTGGGGTTCAAGATATCCAATAATGAGGCTGAATATGAAGCAGTTATAAAGGGCCTGAAATTATCCAAAGCGGGGGGAGCTCGGAAATTGCAAGTACATTCAGATTCTCAGCTGGTGGTCGGGCAGTTTCAAGAAGGGTTTGAGGTTAAAGAGGATCGGATGCAGAAATATGTGGATGAGATGAAGAGGTTAGAGGAAGAGTTTGACTCGTTCGAGTTAATACAAATCCCTCGAGGGAGAATGGTCGAGTAGACTTATTGTCGAAAATCGCCCAAAACTTGGTCGACTGTAAGAGCAGAAGCGTTACTCTATTGCATCTGGAGAAAAGTGCGGTAGTTGCGAGTGTGGCGGAAATTGAAGAAGTAGAGGATTGGAGGGCCCCGATCTTGGAAGAGTTGAGAGAAGGAACGGTGAAGGTAGTCAGGAGGTTTTTCGAGCATGGAGGTGTCCTTTACAAGAGGTCATATGGAGGACCTCATTTGCGTTGTGTCACCAAGGAAGAAGGTCGATACGTGCTAAGGGAGATGCATGAAGGTTGCTGCAGCGATCACAGTAAATCGGGGGCCCTGGTCGCAAGGATCCTAAGAGCAGGATATTTCTGGCCGACAATGAGAGAAGATGCGAAAACAATGGTAAAAAAGTGCTTGCAATGCCAGAAGCATGGTCCCTTGATCCATCAACCGGCCGAAGCGATGACAACAATGAGTGCCCCTATACCCTTTGCTCAATGGGGCATCGATCTGGTGGGGCCAATGCCGCAGGGAACAGGACAAAGAAAATTCCTAATAGTGGCGGTCGATTATTTCACGAAATGGGTGGAGGCCGAGCCCTTGGCGAAGATCACGGAAGAGAAAGTAATTAAATTCCTATATAACAACATTTGCTGCCGTTTTGGTGTACCCAAGGTGCTGATTTCCGACAACGGCACCCAATTCAATGGTAAGCGGATTCGAGCGTGGTGTGAAGATATGAGAATCGAACAACATTTCGCCTCTGTAGCTCATCCACAAGCCAACGGCCAGGTCGAGGTAACCAATCGGATCATATTGAATGGGCTGAAAACAAAGCTGGAAAAGGCCTCGGGAGCATGGGTCGATGAGTTGAACTCTGTGTTGTGGGCGTATCGCACGACCCCTCGATCGACCACCGGAGAAACCCCGTTCAGCTTAGCTTACGGAATGGAGGCATTACTGCCAATTGAGATCGAGATGCTATCCCAGAGGTCGAGCACATACAATACAGAACAGAATGAAGACTTGATGATGGCGGCTTTAGACACTATCGAGGAGCTGCGAGGGAAGGCAGCAATTAGGGTGGAGGCGTACAGGCAGAGGATGCGCGCGGCTCACGACAAGAAAGTGAAGGTTCGCAGACTTCAGGTTGGCGATCTAGTTTGGAAACGTGTCGATGTACTCAAGCACGTGGGGAAGCTGGAGCCGAACTGAGAAGGACCATACCTGGTCGAGCGAGTGCACGCAGGAGGAGCGTACTCGCTTAAGGATGCTAAAGGCCGGTCACTTGCCAGGTCATGGAACATAGCTAATCTGAAAAAAAATATTATGTTTGAAAGTTTTTTTTTATATATATGTTATTATTTTTGTACGACGTCTGAGAAATGTGAACAAGAATGTAAATCGCAAAATTTATCAAGAGACAATGAAATTCAGTGATCTTTCTGGTTTTATCTATTTTATCGTACATTTTCTTATGCTGGGAATGTTGCTACAATTGAATGACAGGATGTATGTGGTATGGTTTGATCTAG